TGGACCAGTTGGTAACTCGGGGCATTGCCCGAGGGCCCGGGGTCAGTAGGGGGCCCCATGAGGATTGCCCCTGGTAACCATTTTTCATAGGCTTTTTTGAATTTGGGCAAGGACAAAGGGGGCCCCATGATTTCCCCTATTTGCCATTCCGGGAGGGCCCTATGTGTTGTCCAGTCCAACCCCTGCCACTACTCTCCCTCCCCCCACTGCTCCCCTGTCCACAAACCACTCCGTAACCATACTACTACCCCAGTCCATTCCAATGTGCCCCCCCACTGCCTCCTCTTGTCTGCTCTCTCGCCCCCCCCCCATAACTGCTTCCCTGTTCTACCACTGGAGCATCCTGTGCCTCCTGTACTCTCTATTTGAGGCACCCGGCCCACACCCTGGTCCCTCACTGTGCACCTACTGTATGTTCCCCCCACGCTTTTTCTACAAGAGCACTAACAACCAACATTTCCCCCCCAATGAGACACCATTTTTTTAATTAACAGTATAATTATAGCACCCCCCCCCCCCCCCCCCCACTGACCACAGGATAATGGGCAATTTTTTTATTTCCCTCCTACTTACCACTTCACTGCCTCACTTGTGTTCCCCCCACTCTCGCCCATCTAACATCCACCCTACACCAACTGCATGCCTACCCCCCCCATTTTCCCCATCTGTCCCCTGTTGTGTGTCCGGTGTGGGGGTGGGCATGGGGAGTGGCGTAGAGGGGTAGAAGGGATTCCAGCTCATAGGGTGGTAGCTGCGAGGAATCCCAATTCAGTGGGTGACAATTCCTAGACTGCTCCCCAACCGTTATGCTGGCACACATTATACAATTGTTCGTGTTTGATTTCCTTTAGATTTACCTTCACCTATGTAGTGCGAGGGGCCCGCCTGATTGCTGCAAACTGAAAGCGCTTTTGACCAAAACCGGCGTATGACACCAGGTCAAGCTCAAAGTAAAAAGAAAGTTTGTACTAAGAAATTGTAAAATATGTGGCCAGCCTTAGGAGTGCACCAGATTGGCAGATTTGTATCGGCCTCGTGTGTGTGGCCAGCCAAAATAGATATGGGCGGAGTCTCCCTCTAGTGGTGCTAGAGGTATTGTAGACTGTACAGGTGTATCACAGCTGGCTTTACTGCAGGGGTCTCCAAACTTTTAAACAAAGGGCCAGTTTATTGTCCTTCAGACTTTAGAGGGGCTGCAATGTGGCCACCAGGAGTAGGAAAATGTCCTGGGCATCAGTTGGAGTAAAAACAATGCCCATCCTTGGTGTCAGTGGGAGGAATAGTGCTCCATTGTTTGGTGTCAGTGGAAGGAATAGTGTCCCCATCATTGGTGTCAGTGGGAGGAATAGTGCCCCATCATTGGTGTCAGTGGGGGGAATAGTGCCCCATAATTGGTGTCAGTGGGAGGAATAGTGCCCCATCATTGGTGTCAGTGGGAGGAATAGTGCCCCATCATTGGTGTCAGTGGGAGGAAATAGTGCCCACATCAGTGGTGTCATTAGTTGTGGGAGGAATAGTGCCCCCATCATTGGTATCAGTGGGAGGAATAGTGCCCCATCATTGGTTGTCAGTGGGGAGGAATAGTGCCCCATCATTGGTGTCAGTGGGAGGAACAGTGCCCCTGCCCCATCATTGGTGTCCAGTGGGAGGAATAGTGCCCCATCATTGGTGTCAGTGGGAGGAATAGTGTCCCCAATCATTGGTGTCACAGTGGGAGGAATAGTGCCCCATCATTGGTGTCATCTGTAGGAATTGTGCCCATCATTGGTATCAGTGGGGGAGGAATAGTGCCCCATCATTGGTGTCAGTGGGATGAATAGTGCCCATCGTTGGTGTCAGTGGGAGGAATAGTGCCCCATCATTGGTATCAGTGGGATGAATAGTGCCCCATCGTTGGTGTCAGTGGGGAATAGTGCCCCATCATTGGTATCAGTGGGATGAATAGTGCCCAATCATTGGTGTCAGTGGGAGAATAGTGTCCCATCATTGGTATCAGTGGGAGGTAATAGTTGCCCCATCATTCGGTGTCAGTGGGAGAATAGTGTCCCATCATTGGTGTCAGTGGGAGGAATAGTGCCCCATCATTGGTGTCAAGTGGGACAGGAATAGTTGGTCCCATGATTGGTGTCAGTGGAGGAATAGTGTACCCATCATTGGTATCAGTGGGAGGAATAGTGCCCCATCATTGGTTGGTGTCAGTGGGAGGAATAGTGTCCCATCATTGGTTATCAGTGGGAGGAATAGTGTCCATCATTGGTGTCAGTGGGAGGAATAGTGTCCCATCATTGGTGTCAGTGGGAGAGAATAGTGTCCCATCAATTGGTGTCAGTGGAGGAATAGTGTCCCATCATTGGTGTCAGTGGGAGGAATAGTGTCCGCCCATCATTGGTATCAGTGGGAGGAATAGTGTCCCATCATTGGTATCAGTGGGAGAGGAATAGTGTCCCCATCATTGGTGTCAGTGGAGGAATAGTGTCTCCATCATGAATGGTCGTCAGTGGGAGGAATAGTTTGCCCATCATTGGTGTCAGTAGGGAGGGAATAGTGTCCCATCATTGGTGTCAGTAGGAGGAAATAGTGTCCCATCATTGGTGTCAGTGGAGGAATAGGTGTCCCCATCATGGTGTCAGTGGGAGGAATAGTGTCCCATCATTGGTATCAGTGGGAGGAATAGTGTCCCATCATTGGTGTCAGTGGAGGAATAGTGTCCCATCATTGGTGTCAGTGGGAGGAATAGTGTCCCTTCTCATTGGTGTCAGTGGAGGAATAGTGTCCCATCATTGGTGTCAGTGGGGAGGAATAGTGCCCCATCATTGGTGTCAGTGGGAGGAATAGTGTCCCATCATTGGTGTCAGTGGGAGGGAATAGTGTCCCCCATCATTGGTGTCAGTGGGAGGAATAGTGTCCCATCATTGGTGTCAGTGGGAGGAATAGTGTCCATCATTGGTGTGATCGGCAGGAATTGTGCCCCATTATAAGGGTAATCGAGCCTCATTGTTGGTGTGATGGGGAAGGAATTGTATCCCGATGTTATTATCATTGTGTTGTACATTATGTATTAATAGTGCTGGCCACCCTGCTCTATACATTGTGTTGTACATGACATGAGTGCTGACTGTTATACATGACATAGCCATGACCAAAGTGTTTATTGCCCCCACAGTTGTGGTCATTTTATGTCAATGAAGGTCTTCTATAAGGGGGGCTCACACAATGTTTCAGCTCCCGGCCCGTATTCTGTGATCTCCCTCACAATGGTTCTTTACGTTTAGCCGTGATGGTGAGACTCTCCATTGTAGAACATTCATTGAGGAGGATTCTGTGGGTACAAGGATGGCAGTTTTCTTCATTTCTAATCCGATGATGGGAGAATCGTGCGAGAAATATAATCGAAGAAGTGATCGTGAGCTGTGACCTGGAAACAAAAAAAAAAAAATTGAACGACCTCATGTTAGCAACATGAGGTGAAAGTGAAGGCATGGTTGGTCGAATCAGAACTTGCCGTATCCCTGTCCTGAGAGCGGAAAAATGTTTCCCAAAGAAATCAGAACTTGATATCCATCAAAGATCTCACACGGGGGGAAAAAATCTGTATTCCTGTCCTGAGTGCGGGAAAGGTTTCAAAAAGAAATCAAAAGTTGCCTGAAGTGCGGTACCCCTGTCCTGAGAGCTTGCTGTATCCCTGTCCCTGAAAATGTTTCCAAAGAAATCAGAACTTGTTATCCATCAAAGATCTCACATGGGGGGAAAATCTGTTATCCCTTTCCGGTGTGCGGGAAATGTTTCACAAAGAAATAAGAACTTGCCCATATCCCTGTCCTGAGTGCGGGAAATGTTTCCCAAAGAAATCAAAACTTGATATCCATCAAAGATCTCACACGGGGGAAAATAGATTCCCTGTCCTGGGTGCAGGAAATGTTTCTCAAAGAAGTCAGAACTTGCCGTACCCGTCCTGAGTGCGGGAAATGTTTCCCAAATGAAATCAAAACTTAATATCCATCAAAGAATCTTCCGGGGGGGAAATCTGCCATTCCTGTCCTGAGTGCGGGAATGTTTTCAAAAAAAATCAAAAGTTGCCGTAAAACCCCTGACTGGATGCGGGAAATGTTTCCAAGAATCAAGCTTGCTGTATCCCTGTCCTTAGAGCGGGAAAATGTTTCCAAAAGAAATCAGAACTTAATATCCATCCAAAGAAATCAGACCTCACATGGAAAGTTCAAAAAATCTGTATCCCTTTCCTGGGTGCGGGAAATGTTTCACAATTAAATCATAACTTACCATATCCCTGTCCTGAGTGCGGGAAATGTTTTCCCAAATAAAGTCAGAACTTGCCATATCCCTGTCCTGCGTCGGGAAATGTTTCACAAAGAAATCAAAACTTGATATCCATCAAAAATTTCACACGGGGGGAAAATCTGTATCCCTGTCCTGGGTGTGGGAAATGTTTCACATGAGAATCAGAACTTACCATATCCCCTGTCCTTAGTGCGGGAAATGTTTCACTAAGAAAGCAGAACTTCCCGTATCCCTGTCCTGAGTGTGGGAAATGTTTCCAAAGAAATCAGAAACTTGACGTATCCCTGTCCTGAGTGCGGGAAATGTTTCAAAAGAAATCAGACCTTGCTGTATCCCTGTCCTGAGTGCGGGAAATGTTTCAAAAAGAAATCAGACCTTGCTGTATCCCTGTCCTGAGTGTGGGAAATGTTTCCCAAAGAATTCAGAACTTGCCGTATCCCTGTCCTGAGTGCGGGAAATGTTTCACAAGAAATTAACTACCTGTATCCCTGTCCTGAGTGCGGGAAATGTTTCCCAAAGAAATCAAAACTTGATATCCATCAAAGATCCCACATGGGGGGAAAAAAATCTGTATTCCTGTCCTGAGTGCGGGAAATGTTTCCCAAAGAAATCAGAACTTGATATCCATCAAAGATCTCGCACGGGGGGGGGTATCTCTATTCCTGTCCTGTGCGGGAAATGTTTCACATAGAAATCAGAACTTCCCGTATCCCTGTCCTGAGTGCGGGAAATGTTTCCCAAAGAAATCAAAACTTGATATCCAAAGAAAAAAAAATTCACATGGGGGGAAAATCTGTATCCCTGTCCTGGGTGCGGGAAATGTTTCACATAGAAATCAGAACTTGATATCCATCAAAGATCTCACATGGGGGGAAAATCTGTATCCCTGTCCTGGTGTGCGGGAAATGTTTTTCACATAGAAATCAGAACTTGATATCCATCAAAGATCTCACATGGGGGGAAAATCTGTATCCTTGTCGTGGTGCGGGAAATGTTTCACATATAAATCAGACCTTGTTGTACACTAAAGGAAATGTTCCAAAGAAATTCCAAAGAAATCAAAACTTGCCATATCCCTGTCCTGTGTGCGGGAAATGTTTCACAAAGAAATCAGAACTTCCCGTACCCCTGTCCTGAGTGCGGGAAATGTTTCCCAAAGAAATCAAAACTTGATATCCTGTCAAAGATCTCACACGGGGGGGAAAAAAATCTGTATTCCTGTCCTGAGTGCGGGAAATGTTTCACATAGAAATCAGAACTTCCCGTATCCCTGTCCTGAGTGCGGGAAATGTTTCCCAAAGAAATCAGAACTTTGATATCCATCAAAGATCTCACACGGGGGGGGGGATCTCTATTCCTGTCCTGCGTGCGGGAAATGTTTCCCAAAGAAATCAGAACTTGATATCCATCAAAAAATTTCACATGGGGGGAAAATCTGTATCCCTGTCCTGGGTGCGGGAAATGTTTCACAATGAAATCATAACTTACCATATCCCTGTCCTGAGTGTGGGAAATGTTTTCACTAAGAAATCAGAACTTGCCATATCCCTGTTCCTGTGTGCGGGAAATGTTTTCCCAAAGAAATCAGAACCTTGCCGTATCCCTGTCCTGAGTGCGGGAAATGTTTCAAAGAAATCAAAACTTGATATCCATCAAAGATCTCACATGGGGGGAAAATCTGTATCCCTGTCCTGAGTGCGGGAAATGTTTCCCAAAGAAATCAGAACTGTTGACGTATCCCCTGTCCTGAGTGCGGGAAATGTTTCAAAAAGTTTCACAAAAATCAGACCTTGCCGTATCCCTGTCCTGATGCGGGAAATGTTTCAAAAAGAAATCAGAACTTGCTGTATCCCTGTCCTGAGTGCGGGAAAATGTTTCCTAAAAATTCAGACTTGCTAGTATCCTTTCCTGTGTGCGGGAAATGTTTCCCAAAGAAATCAAAACTTGATATCCATCAAAGATCTCACAACGGGGGAAAAATCTGTATCCCTGTCCTGCTGCGCGGGAAATGTCATATTTCACAATGAAATCATAACTTACCTGTATCCCTGTCCTGGGTGCGGGAAATGTTTCCAAAGAAATCAGACCTTGTTGTACATCTCAACGGAGGGAAATTCCAAAGAAATTCAGAAAGAAATCAAAACTTGCCTGTATCCTGTCCTGAGTGCGGGAAATTTTTTCACTAAGAAATTAGAAAATTTCCTTATCCCTGTCCTGAGTGCGGGAAATGTTCACAAAAAAATCAAAAGAGACTTTTCATCAAAGATATCCGGGGGGGAGGGGGAATCTGTATTTCCTGTCTCTGTGTGCTTGATTTTCAAAATAGAAATCAGAAACTTCCCGTATCCCTGTCCTGAGTGCGGGGAAATGTTTCACGCAAATTAAAATCAGAACTTCCATATCCCTGTCCTGAGTGCGGGAAATTTTTTCCACATAAGAAATCAGAACTTGCCATATCCAATATGTCCTGTCTGTGTGCGGGAAATGTTTCCCCAAAAAAAATCAGAACTTCCCGTATCCCTGTCCTGAGTGTGGGAAATGTTTTCCCAAAGAAATCAAAACTTGATATCCATCAAAGATCTCACCCACGGGGGGAAAATCTGGATATCCCTGTCCTGGGTGCGGGAAAATGTTTCACATAGAAATCAGAACTTGCCATATCCCTGTCCTGAGTGCGGGAAATGGGGGGAACCCAAAGAAATCAATGTTCCTTGTTGTACATCAAAGGAAATTCCAAAGAAATCAGAACTTGCCAAAACACCTGTCCCTGAGTGTGGGAAATGTTTTCACATAGAAACAGAACTTCTTGGGAAACATTTCTCGCACACAGGACAGGGAATGGGTAAGTTTATGATTTCATCAAAGAAAACCCATCATTTTTGATATCCATCAAAAATCTCACATGGGGGAAAAATCTTTATCCCGCTCCTGGGTGCGGGAAATGTTTCACAATGAAATCATAACTTGCTGTAGCCCTGTCCTGAGTGCGGGAAATGTTTCACACAGAAATCAGAACTTCTTGTATACCCCTGTCCTGTGTGCGGGAAATGTTTCCCAAATAAATCAGAACTTGATATCCATCAAAAATCTCACATGGGGTGAAAAATCTGTAATCCCTGTCCTGGTGTTGGGAAGTGTTTCAAAATAAATCAGAACTTGCCATATCCCTGTCCTGTGGTGCTGGGAAATGTTTCACTAAGAAAATCAAAACTTGCCATATCCCTGTCCTGTGGTGCGCGGGAAATGTTTCCCATAGAAATCAGAAACTTCTTGTATCCCCTGTCCTGACTGCGGGAAAAATGTTTCCCACAAGAATCTGTATAAAAACTTGACTTATCCATCAAAGATATCACATGGGGGAAAATCTGTATCCCTGTCCTGGGTGCGGGAAATGTTTTTCACAATTAGAGTTAACATCTTAAAACCCATGTCCCTGTCCTGAGAGCGGGGAAATGTTTCCCAAAGAAATCAGAACTTGATATCCATCAAAGATCTCACATGACGGGGGGAAAATCTGTATCCTTGTCCCTGGGTGCGGAATGTTTCACAATAGAAATCAGAACTTCCCGTATCCCTGTCCTGAGTGTGCGGGAAAATGTTTCACTAAGAAATCAGAACTTCCGTATCCCCCTGTCCTGAGTGCGGGAAAATGTTTCCCAAAGAAATTAGAAAAACTTTCCGTTATCCTGTCCAAAGTGCTCACATGGGTTGGGGGAAAATCAAAACTTGCCATATCCCTGTCCTGAGTGCGGGAAATGTTTCCACATAGAAATCAGAACTTACCATATCCCTGTCCTGATTGCGGGAAATGTTTCACATAGAAATCAGAACTTCCGTATCCCTGTCCTGAGTGCTGGGAAATGTTTCCCAAAGAAATCAAAACTTGATATCCTGTGTGCGGGAAATGTTTCAACGGGGGAAAAACTTTCTGTATCCTGTCCTAGGGTGCGGGAAACTGTTTCAAAATGAAATCATAACTTACCATCCCTGTCCTTAGTGTGGGAAATGTTTCACATAAGAAATCAGAACTTGCCATATCCCTCTGTCCTGAGTGCGGGAAATGTTTCCCCAAAGAAATCTGAACTTGATATCCATCAAAGATTCATGTATCCCAAAGGGGGGAAAATCTGTATCCCTGTCCCCCCCTGGGTGCGGGAAAGGAAATGTTTCCACAATGAAATTCAAATTTGCTGTACTTCCTGTCCTGAGTGTGGGAAATGTATTCACTTTAGAAATCAGAACTTTCCCGTCTCCCTGTCCTGAGTGTGGGAAATTTTTCCAAAGAAATCAAAACTTGATATCCCATCAAAAGAATTTCACACGGGGGGACATATCGGTATTACTGTCCTGGGTGCGGGAAATGTGTTCACAATGAATCATAACTTACCCTTATCCCTGTCCTGAGTGTGGGAAATGTTTCCACAAAGAAATCAGAACTTGATATCCATCAAAGATTCCACATGGGGGAAAAAAATCTGTATTCCCTGTCCTGAGTGCGGCGAAATGTTTCACAAGAAATCAGAACTTCAAAGATCTCGTATCTGTATCCTGTCTTGAGTGTGGGAAATGTTTCCCAAAGAAATCAGAAAATTGATATCCATCAAAGATCTCACAGGGGGGGGAAAATCTGTATCCCTGTCGTGGGGTGTGCGGGAAAAGTTTCAGACCCAAAAGAAAATCAGAACTTGCCGTAACCCTGATCCTGTCCGTGCGGGAAACTGTTTCCCAAAGAAATCCGACCTTGTGTAATCAAAGAAATGACAAGGGGGGGGGGGAGGAGCCATATTCTTCCTGTCCTGCGTGCGGGAAATGTTTCCCTAAGAAAATCAAAACTTTGATATCCATCAAGATCTACACAATGGGGGGAAAAACAATCTGTATCCCCTGTCCTGGGTGCGGGAAATGTTTTAACAATGAAATCAGAACTTGCCAATCCCTGTCATGAGTGGCGGGAAGATGTTTTCACTAAGAAATCAAACCTGTGTTGTACATCAAAGATCTCCCGGTGTGCAGGAGCCATATTCCTTGTCCTGAGTGCGGGAAATGTTTCACTAAGAAATCAGAATTTTGCCGTATCCCAGTCCTGAGTGCTGTTTAATGTTTCAAAAATAAATCAGAACCTAGGCGAATCTATCCTGTCCTGTGTGTGGGAAACGGTTTCCCAAAGAAGTCAGAACTTGCCGTATCCCTGCCCTGAGTGCGGGAAATGTTTCCCAAAGAAATCAGACCTTGTTGTACATCAAAGATCTCACACGGGGGGGAGCCAATATTCCTGTCCTGAGTGCGGGAAATGTTTTCACAAATAAATCAGAACTTGCCATATCCCTGTCCTGCATGCGGGAAATGTTTTCCAAAGAAGTCAGAACTTGCCGTACCCCTATCCTGAGTGCGGGAAATGTTTCCCAAAGAAATCAAAACTTGATATCCATCAAAGATCTCACATGGGGGGAAATCTGTATCCCTGTCCTTGTGTGCGGGAAATGTTTTCACAATGAAATCATAACTTGCTGTACTCCGGTGTCCTGAGTGCGGGAAATGTTTCACTAAGAAGTCACCTGGACCCATGGAGAATTAATTCCCTGTCTTTGGTATTTGTGGGAGGAATAGAGCCCCATCATTGGTGTCAGTGGGAGGAATAGTGCCCCATCATTGGTGTGTCAGTGGGAGGAATAGTGCCCCATCATTGGTGCCAGTGGGAGGAATAGTGCCCCATCATTGGGTGCCAGTGGGAGGAATAGTGCTCCATCGTTGGTATCAGTGGGAGGAATAGTGCCCCATCATTGGTATCATTGGGAGGAATAGTGCCCCATCATTGGTGTCACGTGGGGGAGGAATAGGTGCCCCATCATTGGTATCAAGTGGGAGGGATATTGCCCCATCATTGGTGTCAGTGGGAGGAATAGTGCCCCATCATTGGTGTCAGTGGGAGGAATAGTGCCCCATCATATGGTGTCAGTGGGAGGAATAGTGCCCCATCATTGGTATCAGTGGGAGGATATTGCCCCATCATTGGTGTCAGTGGGAGGAATAGTGCCCCATCATTGGTGTCAGTGGGAGGAATGGTGCCCCATCATTGGTGTCAGTGGGAGGAATAGTGCCCATTCATTGGTATCATTGGGAGGAATGGTGCCCCATCATTGGTGCTCAGTGGGAGGAATGGTGCCCCCATCATTGGTGTCAGTGGGAGGAATAGTGCCCCTTCATTGGTGTCAGTGGGAGGAATAGTGCCCCATCATTGGTATCAGTGGGGAGGAATAGTGCCCCATCATTGGTGTCAGTGGGAGGAATGGTTGCCCCATCATTGGTATCAGTGGGAGGGATAGTGCCCCATCATTGGTGTCAGTGGGAGGAATAGTGCCCCATCATTGGTATCAGTGGGAGGAATAGTTCCCCATCATTGGTGTCAGTGGGAGGAATGGTGCCCCATCATTGGTATCAGTGGGGGAGGAATGGGAGGAGTGCCCCATCATTGGTGTCAGTGGGAAGGAATAGTGCCCCATCATTGGTGCCTGGTGGGAAGGAATAGTGCCCCATCATTGGTGCCAGTGCAGTGGAATAGTGCTCCATCATTGGTTATCAGTGGGAGGAATAGTGCCCCATCATTGGTGTCAGTGGGAGGAATAGTGCCCCATCATTGGTGTGCAGTGGAGGAATAGTGCCCCATCATTGGTGTCAGTGGGAGGAATGAGTGTGCCCATCATTGGTTGTCATTGGGAGGAATAGTGCCCATCATTGGTGTCAGTGGGAGGAATAGTGCACCCATCATTGGTATCAGTGGGAGGGATATTGCCCCATCATTGGTGTGTCAGTGGGAGTGAATAGTGCCCCATCATTGGTGTCAGTGGGAGGAATAGTGCCCCATCATTGGTGTCAGTGGGAGGAATAGTGCCCCATCATTGGTATCAGTGGGAGGAATATTGCCCCATCATTGGTGTCAGTGGGAGGAATAGTGCCCCATCATTGGTGTCAGTGGGAGGAATGGGTGTTTATGGTGCCCCATCATTGGTGTCAGTGGGAGGAATGGTGCCCCATCATTGGTGTCAGTGGGAGGAATGGTGCCCCATCATTGGTGTCAGTGGGAGGAATAGTGCCCCATCATTGGTATCAGTGGGAGGAATAGTGCCCCATCATTGGTGTCAGTGGGAGGAATGGTTTGCCCCATCATTGGTGTCAGTGGGAGGAATAGTGCCCCATCATTGGTGTCAGTGGGAGGAATGGTACCCCATCATTGGTATCATTGGGAGGAATAGTGCCCATCATTGGTATTGGATAGTGCCCCCATCATTGGTTCGTGGGAGGAATGGTGCCCATCATTGGTATCAGTGGGAGGAATAGTGCCCCATCATTGGTGTCAGTGGGAGGAATAGTGCCCCATCATTGGTGCCAGTCCCCAGGGAGGAATAGTGCCCCATCATTGGTATCAGTGGGAGGAATAGTGCCCCATCATTGGTGTCATTGGGAGGAATAGTGCCCCATCATTGGTGTCAGTGTAGAGGAATAGTGCCCCATCATTGGTATCAGTGGGAGGAATAGTGCCCCATCATTGGTGTCAGTGGGAGGAATAGTGCCCCATCATTGGTGTCAGTGGGAGGAATAGTGCCCCATCATTGGTGTCAGTGGAGGAATAGTGCCCCATCATTGGTATCAGTGGGAGGGAATAGTGCCCCATCATTGGTGTCAGTGGGAGGAATAGTGCCCCATCATTGGTGTCAGTGGGAGGAATAGTGCCCCATCATTGGTGTCAGTGGGAGGAATGGTGCCCCATCATTGGTGTCAGTGGGAGGAATAGTTGCCCATCATTGGTGTCAGTGGGAGGAATAGTGCCCCATCATTGGTATCAGTGGGAGGAATGGTGCCCCATCATTGTGTGTCAGTGGGAGGAATAGTGCCCCATCATTGGTGTCAGTGGGAGGAATAGTGCCCCATCATTGGTGTCAGTGGGAGGAATAGTGCCCCATCATTGGTATCAGTGGGGAGGAATAGTGCCCCATCATTGGTGTCAGTGGGAGGAATAGTGCCCCATCATTGGTATCAGTGGGAGGAATAGTGCCCCATCATTGGTGTCAGTGGGAGGAATGTGTGCCCCATCATTGGTATCAGTGGGAGGAATAGTGCCCCATCATTGGTGTCAGTGGGAGGAATAGTGCCCCATCATTGGTGTCAGTGGGAGGAATAGTGCCCTTCATTGGTATTTCAGTGGGAGGAATAGTGCCCCATCATTGGTGTCAGTGGGAGGAATGGTGCCCCATCATTGGTATCAGTGGGAGGGATATTGCCCCATCATTGGTGTCAGTGGGAGGAATGGTGCCCCATCATTGGTGTCAGTGGGAGGAGAATGGTGCCCCATCATTGGTGTCAGTGGGAGGAATGGTGCCCCATCATTGGATTGTCAGTGGGAGGAATGGTGCCCATCATTGGTGTCAGTGGGAGGAATAGTGCCCCATCATTGGTATCATTGGGAGGAATGGTGCCCCATTCATTGGTGTCGTGGGAGGAATATGGTGCCCCATCATTGGTGTCAGTGGGAGGAATATTGTGCCCCTTCATTGGTGTCAGTGGGAGGAATGGTACCCCATCATTGGTATCATTGGGAGGAATAGTGCCCCATCAATTGGTGTCAGTGGGAGGAATGGGTGCCCCATCATTGGTAATCAGTGGGAGGGATATATGCCCATCATTGGTGCAGGAGTGGAGGAATAGTTGCCCCATCATTGGTATCATTGGGAGTGAATAGTGCCCCATCATTGGTGTCAGTGGGAGGAATGGTGCCCCATCATTGGTGTCGATGTGGAGGAAGGATTGTGCCCCATCATTGGTGTCAGTGGGGAGGATTAGTGCCCAATCATTGGTGTCAGTGGGAGGAATGGTGCCCCATCGATTGGTATCAGTGGGAGGAATAGATGCCCCATCATTGGTGTCAGTGGGAGGAATAGTGCCCCATCATTGGTGTCAGTGGAGAGGAATAGTGCCCCTATCATTGGTGTCAGTGGGAGGAATAGTACCCCATTGTTAGTGCCAGTGGGAGGAACACGGAATAGTGCCCCATCATTGGTGGTTTGTCAGTGGGAGAATTAATTATTTCCCTCCCTTTGGTGTCAGTGGGAGGGCCTAGTACCCCATTGTTGGTGTGCCAGTGGGAGAAATTTTGCCTCATCATTGGTGTAAGCGGAAAAAAATTCCTGTCTCTGGGTAGTCAGCGGGGAGAAATGGTACCCCATTGTTCGTGTCAGCGGGAGAAATAATTCCCTGTCTCTGATGTCAGTTGGGATGAATAGTACCCCAAGGGGCCAGATAAAAGCAAGCTAAGAGCCACATCCGGCCTCGGGCCGCAGTTTGGAGGCCCTGCTGCTCTAGAAGAATGAAAAGTCTGTGCTTTTGGCCATATCATTACCAGACCTCCAGCTGTCCTATTAAGACATTAATGTGGTTGTAACGGAACCGGACCTGATGCACTAGGGTATTTCCTCTTCCCTGTCCGATGAACACAGATCCCCGACGGACACCACCGCTGACCATTCAAGACGAAACAGCATCAGACTTGAAAGGAAACCAGAAAATAGACTGCTTTATTTTTAACACAGAGATACAAGATATATACACAGGGCGGGGCATATACATTTAGTAAAACAAGAGACACGAATGCAACAGACACCCCCACCAAGTCAATACACAAACACATACATCCCCATAATAGTTTGCTCCCAAGCAAGACACACAATAGAACAATGGGACAACCACATGGCATTAAACAATGAACAATCCCCAACACCCCACTATACATGTCTACACAATAGCAGGACATTGCACCCCTACAGGCACAGGGCGACTTACACATAAGAGGGATATGGGGGAGCTGAGACAGGGGTCTCCCACCCCTCCAAAGTGAGCTGTGTTCCATGGGCCCCCACCCAAAGTGACTCCCGTCACAGTAATTGTATGAAATGTGAAGGGAAATGCGTTCTGCTGCATACTAGAGAGCCAAATGTGAGTATATGTAATGCTGGCTGGGGGTGGGGGGGGGGGGGGGTTCCTCTTGAATCAAGGGCATGGGGGCTGTTCTCTATCTCTTCTACACCACATGTACATGACTTACTGTGGCAATTCAGGATCAGTAACGTTCAATTGATCTTTCATCAACGTGCCCTTTACATTGTATGTGTGGGCGAGGTATTCCGTACATCTCCAATACAGAAATCCCCGATGTGCAGAGATTCCAGTGAGCTCCCGACTTCCTGCCATGAACACACATGGATGACCTGTGATATTCATCTTTCTGAATTTGGCCACATTTGTGGAATTGGGTTAT